ATGAATATGGCGGCCGGAGCACCCAAAATCTTTTTTTCAAAAAACTTAATGAGGACCTCCGTAATGAGTTGGGGAACCTTCACCTATACTCACACCATTTTTAATGCCCATTTCCGCATTTACAATCCATTTTTTAAGAATCACCCAAATTTCATGTTTTTTCGTGTGTATTAGCCCATGGATCTAGCGCCTGGAGCACCCAAATTATTTTTCTCAAAATACTTTATGAGGATCTCCGTAATGAGTTAGGGAACATTTACGTATATTCACATCATTTTTTTAACGCCCATTTCAGTATTTTCAAGCGTTTTTTTAAGAATGACCTAGATTCCTCGATTTTTCGTGTGTATATGCCCATGGATCTGGCTCCTGGAGCACCCAAAATTGTTTTCTCAATAAAATATATGAGGACCTACGTAATTAGTTGGGGAACCTTCACGTATACTGACACCATTTTTTTAACGCCCATTTCAGCATTCACAAGCCCTTTTTTAAGAATCACCCAAATTTCTCGATTTTTCTTGTGTATTATCCCATAAATCTGACGCCTGGAGAACCCAATATTTTTTTCTCAAAAAACTTTATGAGGACCTCCGTAATGAGTTGGGTTCCTTTGCGTATACTCATACCAATTTTTAACGCTCATTTTCTCATTTACAAGCCCTTTTAGGAATCACCCAAATTTCTTTATTTTTCGTGCGTAGTAGCCCATGGATCTGGTGCCCGGAGCACCTAAAATCTTTTCTCAGAAAACCTTATGAAGACCTTTGTAGTGAGTTTGGGAACCTTCACGTATACTCACACTATTTTTTAACGCCCATTTTAGCATTTACAAGCCATTTTTAAAGAATCGCCCAAATTCTCCAATTTTTCGTGTGTATTAGCCAATGAGTTTGGTGCCCGGACCACCCAAAATTGTTTCCTCAAAACACTTTATAAGGACCTCTATAATGAGTAGGAGAACCTTCTTGTATACTCACACCATTTTTTTAACGGTTATTTTCGCATTTACAAGCCCTTTTTTTAAGAATCACCCAAATTCCTTGATTTTTCGTATGTATTAGATCATGGATCTTGCGCCCGAAGTTCCCAGAAATATTTTCTCAAAAAAACATTATGTGGACCTCTGTAATGAGTTGGGGAACCTTCATGCATACTCACATCATTTTTTAAAGAATTGCCCAAATTCCCTGATTTTTTGTGAGTATTAGCCCATGAATTTGACGCTCAGAGCACCCCAAAATTTTTTCTCAAAAACTTTATGAGGACCTATATAATGAGTTAGGGAGTCTTAACGTATACTCACACCATTTTTAACGCTCATTTCCACATTTACAAGCCATTTTTTAAGAATAACCCAAATTCCCTGATTTTTCCTGTGTATTATATCCCATGGATCTGGCGCCTGAAATATTTTTCTCAAAAAAATTTATGAGGACCTCCGTAATGAGTTGAAGAACCTTCATATATACTCACACAAATATTTTAACGCTCATTTCCTCATTTGAAAGCCCTTTTAAGAATCACTCAAATTCCCCAATTGTTTGTGTGTAGTAGCGAATGGATCTAGCGCCTAAAGCACCCAAAATTATTTTTTCTCAATAAACTTTATGAGGACCTCCATAATGAGTTGCGGAACCTTCACGTCTACTCACACCCCTTTTTTAATGACCATAACAACATTTACAAGTCCTTTTTTAAGAATCACCGAAATTCCCTAATTTTTCGTGTATATTCTTCCATGGATCTGGCGCCCAGAGCACCCAAGATATTTTTCTTAAAAAACATTATGAGAACCTCAATAATGAGTTGGGGAACCTTCACGTATACGCACGCTATTTTTAACATCTATTTCCACATTTACAAGCCATTTTAAGAATCTCCCAAATTTCCTGATTTTTCGTGTGTATTAACCCATGGATATGGCGCCCAGACCACCCAACATTGTTTTGTCAAAAAAGTTTATGAGGATCTCCGTAATGAATTGGGGAACCTTCACGTATACTCACACCATTCTTAACGCTTATTTCCGCAGTTACAAGTTCTTTTTTAAGAATCGCCCAAATTTCCAGATTTTTTGTGTGTACCCATGGATTTGGAGCCCTAAGCACCAAAAATTGTTCTTTCAAAATTTTTTATGAGAATCTCCGTAATTAGTTGGGGAACATTCATGTATACTCACACCATTTTTAAGGGCAATTTATGCATTTACAAGCCTTTTTTTACGAATCGCCCAAATTTTCTGATTTTTCGTGTGTATTAGCCTATGGATCTGGCGCATGGAGGACCCAAATTTTTTTTCTCAAAAAACATTATGAGGACTTCCGTAATGAGTTAGGGAACCTTCACGTATACTCACGCTATTTTTTAATGCCCATTTCAGTATTTACAAGCCTTTTTTATTAATCACCTAAATTCCCTAATTTTTCGTGTGCTAAGCCCATGAATCTAGCGGCCGGTGCACCCAAAAAAAAAAAAAATTCTCAAAAAACTTAATAAGGACCTCCGTAAAGAGTTGAAGAACCTTCACGTATACTCATACAATTTTTTTAACACCCATTTCCGCATGTACATGCCCTTTTATAAGAATCACCCAAATTTCCCAATTTTTTGTATGTATTAGCCCATGGATTTAGCGCCAACTCTTGTTCTGGGCATCACTTGTCGTCCTTGATTCCTTTTCTTTCATGATTCCAACTCTTCTCTTAGGAACCCCGCAAAATAGCTAATCATGTATATTAGTATACAATCATCGCAAACCTAAGTCAAACATGTCAGATAGATTAGTGAATATCCTTAAACTTACGTTAAAAGATGGGTAATTCGTAGTAATTGGGCATATAAATATGCCCAAGATCATGGAACCAACTCTTCCCAGCAGCCTTCGATCTCTTATTTCATCACACCTAATCACATTAGACCCGATCCCTATTTTGATATAGCTCTTTCTCGAATGTTTTATACTCCTATTAGTTTTTTTTAGTATGGTTTTAGTTATATTTTCTTTTCCTTCTATTTCTGGATTTTGTTTTTTGTACTTTTAATTAGATGGGCCGTTGCCTTCAATTTAGTTATAGTTGCATGTATGTAGTTTTTTATTTTAACATTTCCTCCATAACTCTTAGTTGCAGAAGCAGTTAAAAAAAATTATATCATCTATTTAATTTGATTTGCAGGACGTGTTACTCATGCTTGTGACATTCACAACAAATTCGTTTTCCCAGGCTTAGAAATGTTCATCCTATGCTGAAGTTGTAATTTTGGGAAAGGTAAAAATTGACAATTCTTGTTAATCATTCTTATTCTCTAATGTTTTATTAATACAGTGATCTCATATCTATGGTTAAGTTTCTCTCCCTATAGTACAAAAATTATAACTATGGTATATGTCTAAAATCATGCCTATGACTTGGAATTATGGAATTCTAATTTCATATGACACAGTTGGAGCAGAGTATAAATACAGGTTATGTATATTCTACCCTCCTCAGATTCTTAGGTAAGGATAAAGTTTATGCATACTCTACCCTCCTCAGATTCTACTCTGTGGGACTACACTATGTAGGTTATCGTTGTATAACAAGAAAAAAATCATCTCCAAATGTGCCGGAATAGATAAAAGGCCATTTTCGTTGTAAAATAATTTGCTAAAACAGTTGTAAGTCATAATGATCCCAATAATTAATACATAAATAATTGACCTATGCATAACTAATATCTGAATAAAATAACAAATTGATTTCTTCATAAGTAATTCATATATTACTGATATTTACGACTCTAATCAGCAACCCAACAATTCCCTAAAGGATCACTAGCTTGACTCGTTTGGGAATTTTTCCTTGTAGATGTCGTTGAGACCGAACTCTTGCTTCTTGAGCATCATATTTGTAAGGATCAATAATAAATGTTTCAAGCGCTACACTATTTTTAGCAAGGTAATTGTAAGTACCGCGTCAGCAAAACCACCAAGATAACCACTGTATTTGACTTCTTTGAGATGTTGATGGGGACACATTTTCCGTATAATTCTATTTTTGGAGATTGTCGTTTCATACCATTCAACCTGAAAAGGAAAAAAGGTAAGTAAAATTTAACTCGTATGAAGCCAAGGAAAACATTTTTTCTAACATAATTGCAATTGAGTGTAATCTACATATACCAATAGTGAAAATAATTTCTTATTCCATAGATATACATGTGACTATAATAAAAAAATGGAAAGAACAAGTTTTTTTTTGGTTGAAGGTTAATAGTCAATACAATTGGCATTGGTTAAAATAACAAGGAAAAACAGATTTAACGTTAGAATAAGTAGGAAACCTATTAGTACTAAATTCTTAATATTTAGTAATTATTAGTTTGAATTTAGTTTATTCAATCCCATGTTATTTTAATATAATAAATCATTTATGGAAGAAAAAATCCTCCATATTTAGATAACTCTTTATTGGAGGAAAATGTTTTGTACTTCTAAAAATTGAGAATCATTCTTTTCGATAATAAAATAAGAGGATCAACAATTTTGTCCTCAAACGAAGTCTTATTTAGGACTTTAGGGGGATTATTCTCCAATTGATTTTTATTTTTAAAATTTTTTTATATCACTTTCTGATCAGATTGGGTCTCATAATCATGTAGAATTGATACTATTTTCTTTAGAGAATATGCATTAGGTTATATAAAGATAATATTATCCGCATAAGCAAGATGATTTAGATTATAACTCCATTTTGATAAGTGATAGCCTACATATTGATCATCATCAAATAAAGAGTTTAGAGCCCTAGTCAGAACTTTAGATGACAATATGAAAATCAATTCAACATTTGGTTTATAATTTAGAAACTCACATAGCTAATACATGTATAAGCTACGAGAAAATGTATGTATTATTTTATGCATGGTAAAATGTGAAGTAACTAATACATAAATAATTAACCTCTATATAAAATAATACACTATTTTCTTCATAACTCTAATCAGCAACCCAACAACCCCTAAAAGATCACTAGCTTGACTCGTTTGAGAATTTTTCCTTGTAGTTGTCGTCGAGCCCGACCTCTTGCTTCTTGAGCATCATATTCTAAAGGAACAATAATGAATGTTTCAAGCGCCACACTATTTTTAGTAAGGTAAGTTGTAAGTATCCTGTCAGCAAAACCACCAAGGTAACCACTATATTTAACTTCTTTGAGATGTTGATGGGGACACTTTTTCCGTATAATTCTATTTTTGAAGATTGTCGTTTCACACCATTCAAGCTGAAAAGGAAAAAAAAAGAGGTAAGTAGACTATAACTCTTATGAAGCCAAGGAAAACATTTTTTCTAACATAATTGCAATTGAGTTTAATTTACATATACCAATAGTGAAAAGAATTTCTTATTCAATAGATATACATTCTATGATAAAAAAAGGGAAAATTACGCGGTTAAGCAAACTTATACTACTTAATTACTCATTATAGCTATAGTTTGCTATAATTACCACTCACGACTAACATTATACATTAATTACGCAGGGGGCTGACTTCAAGTTTGTATAATTAGCCACGTTTGTATATGTATAATTCACCAGAATATACAAAATACATATGTATAATATACAATTATCTAACTTATATACACATACAATTCACCTCTCTCCCACTCTCTGCCCTCTCTAGCTCGCCTCTCTCCTACCTCTCCCAATCTCGCTCGCCTCTCTCCTCCCTCTCCCAATCTCGCTTGCCATATATACAAATGCATATGTATAATATACAATTATCTAACCTATATACATATACAATTCACCTCTCTCCCACTCTCTGCCCTCTCTCGCTCGACTCTCTCCTCCCTCTCCTAACCTCGCTCGCATCTCTCCTCCCTCTCCCAATCTCGCTCGCCTCTCTCCTCCCTCTCCCAATCTCGCTTGCCATATATACAAATACATATGTATAATATACAATTATCTAACCTATATACATATACAATTCACCTTCTCCACTCTTTCCCCTCTCTCTCGCCTCTCTCCTCTCTCTCCCAGTCTCGTTCGCCTCTCTCCTCCATATAACATGTAGCTACGAATTGTAATTATCAAACTATAGCTATGGAGAGTAATTAGGCTATTTTTGAGTGGCTATATGTGAAAGTTCCCCAATAAAAAAGGGAATGAACAAGTTTTTTTTTGGTTTGAAGGTTAATTGTCAATACAATCGGCATACAAAATTGGCATTGGTTAAAATAACAAGGAAAACAGATTTAACGTGAGAATAAGTTGGAAACTTATTAGTACTAAATTATTAATATTTAGTAATTATTAATTTGGCTTTAGTTTACTGAAACCATGTTATTTTAATATAATATATAATTTATGGAAGTAAAAATCTTCCATATTTTGGTAACTCTTTTTTTGGAGGAAAATGTTTTGTACTTCTATAAATTGAGAATCATTCTTTTCTACAATAAAATAATAGAATCAACAACTTAGTCCTCAACAATTTTTATTTATTTTTTAAAAAAATTTTTATATCATTTCTCAAACTTTTGATAAACATGAGAATTTATTGTGATGGGGCGGAAACAAACCTGTGTATTATTGAATAAGTTTAAGTGCATTAAATAAAATTTATTTAGTCCTATTTCACTTTATATGATCCTATATCCTTATTTCCTGTTTAGAAAAAAGAAAAATACTTATTAAAATTTTAAAATAATTTAACTTGAATTTTCAATTATACCTTTAATGACAAATTCTTATAGTTAAACAAATGTAATGATGTTTTTAAGCCAGCCATCTGGCCTATATATAATTAAACTTCAGAAGTTGTTATTTTAAAACTATAACTAATCAAATTATGTCATATATATTAAAAACGAAAAAGTATTTATGAAAAATAACCTAAGAATAGGGTTAAAGAATAAACTCATACGTACCTCAATATGCAGTTTTTGTAAATATGGAGATGCTTCTATTAGTGGAGTAATACCAAGTTGGGATTCATCCGTCATGCCTACGACTTTCAACACAAGCACTTTGAGATTGTTGAACTTTGGCAAAGAATGATCAAGAAAACAATGATTCTGAAACAATCAAACAAATTAAAAATTACAAGCGTAAAATCAAGCTTTATTTATTAATTATATATTCTAGCTCTATGAAATACATTAATATACAATTGCTTACCATCCCCATATGACCAAATTCAAGTGAAAGTGTCGTCAGTAGAGTGAAATAGGTTGTAAACGTATGAACAAGTTCACAGATCAATGCTCTACTCATCTTGAAATCAATAGTAAGAACTGAAGTAACATTCTCGAGAAGCATTTGATTTCCATCCTATGTATTTAAAAGAGACAAGATTGACGTTATGGATCTTGATGAAATCCAAACCATTAATGCATTGACATAGTTCCAAATTTTTCAAGTTGAAGCATGATGGTCCAACAATTTCCAGGTGAGTCTACAGTCGTGATTCATTAATAGATAGTTTCTTAACATCAACGTTGTTGAAAAAGTTGACCACCCGATTGTCAACATCAACGTTGTTGAAAGCCAGAATTTTGAGACTTACAAATGGCGATACATTTCATCTAAAACTTGAGATGAGCTTAAACGGAAAGGTATAACGCCTATGCTCATTTTTACTGAGTGACAAGTCTAGTTGAAAGATTTTCAACCTTTTTCTTTGATACTACAAAGTTGAGACATTTATCGATTACACGCTTAAAATGCTTATGAAAAGGAAACGAGAGAGTGAATTCTTCTAAGTGAGCACCCTTGTGGAAATCTAAAACATTGTTAATCAAATTGATATGCTTCATCCCTTCCTTTCTGCATAACCTTGGATAATAAAACATCTTCCATGTAATAAACTGTGAAACATCGAATTTGAGACGTGTGACATGCATCCAGAGATACTGCCATTGAATTAAAAGGGAACTTGTTAGGACTGCTTCTCTAATTGTCATTTGAGACAAAATTGATACAATCACTTCATCTGGCAATTGGCTAAGACTATCCTCCATTGATACCACAGTACTGCAACTATTGTTTTGTTGTCTTCTACTACGTATACAAAGCATTCTTCTAAAGAGAATAATCAACAAAACAGAGAAAATAAAAGAACAACCCATGAAAACTACATACATTTTGCAATAGTAAATAAATGGAACTTTCTTTTCTGCACAATTATATAGCTTTGAGTTGTAAATGGATATTTATTACTTTTCTAATTATGACACCCTTTAAATGATAAGCCATTTTTGGATATGATTTCATAAAATTTCCTATGTTTCTTATATAGTTTATTCTCTCACCATCATACATTGAATGTTTTTGATAAAGATATAATGAATAATATTTGATTATTAAAAAATAATGACTTTATGTATAATGAATTTATTTTTTACCATGAATGATTGAATTCTTGAATTTATTATACAATGAATCAGCCATGGTGCTCTAGTGATTGATGGAAACAGGACAATCACGATAGACTCTTTCTGCTAATATAGACTCCCCAACAGGTGTAGAAACACAAAAGGGTTCACAAAGTCTTTCTGGAAGAACCTCAAATTTATTTGCAACATAAGGAGTTACAAAAGATAAACTTGCTCTTGGGTTTAGCAAAGCATACACATAAAAAACAAAGACTTTGATCATACCAGTGACAACATTTGGAGAGTTCTCTTGCTCATGGCAACTGGTGATGGCATAGAGGCGATTTACTCTTCCACCGGTACTAGAAGTAGCTCCTCTTGGTGCCGTCCTGTCTGTGGGAGCAACTGATGAAGATTAGGCCCTACTGCCCAGATTTACACTACATTGCTTGTTCTTTGGACACTCCTTCATGAAGTGACCCTCTTGTCCACACTTAAAGCAACCTGTCTGGCCTTGACGACACTTCCCTGGATGGACTCTACCACACCTAGCACATGTAAGAACCCGGTTACTTCCTTGTGCCATACTATTCTGAGACTGTGCAGGTCCAGGTCTGAAGCTCTGCGAATTCTGTCCAGTGTACTCACTTTTATTTCTAGGTGCAGGTACACTAGCAGATGATGGAGTAGGTCCCCTTTGCCTTGGTTAAAAGGACGGACGGTTCGCATTACCTTTCTGCTGCCCGGACTAACATTGATATGTCCATGTCCCCAATAAGCATTGCAGCCTACTCTTACTTGACAGTCGAGATAGCCCAGCTACAAACAAACTCATTCTACTCCTCATGTCCGCAACCATCTCCGGATCATAGCGGGATAGTTGTGTGAACTTCAGACTGTACTCATTAACACTCAAAGACTCCTTGCTTAAGTGTGAGGAACTCACGTACCTTAGCCTCTTTCAATTCTCGAGGAAAGAAACGCCCCAAGAAAGCTTCCTCAAAATAGGCCCAACTCGCGGGTGGTGCATTCTCAACTCTGCCCCATTTCCATTGGTCGAACCAAATTCTAGCAACATCCTTCAATTGATACGCAGCTAGCTCAACCCGCTCAGTATCTGTTATATGCATCATATCAAAAATCTTCTTCAGCTCCTCAATAAAGTTCTCTGGATCCTCAGTAGTGCTCGAACCCATGAAACTCGGAGGATTCATCCCCAAGAACTCACGAATCCTTGAAGTGTCAGCTCC